CATTTCTCTTCTATCGGCCCCTTTTACTGCAATATAACCATGTGTCCTTACCATTAAACGTCATCATATTCACCATCAGCTTTATGACGAATAAAGACGTCGCTCAAACAGTTCAACTGCATTGCTCTGTAGGCTATGTTATCCCATCCCACTTTATACCCCATTCCTTTTGACGGACACATTCTCCTCCATCCTCTTAGTTGCATGAAAAAAGTGGGCAGTTCAAGATTTTATATTTGCCCTCACTGTCTCAAACTCCCTCTTTTCTCCCTGTCCTTTGCGGCCGGTCGGACGCACGCACGCGTCCCATACCTGCATAGAGCTCCCAGTATTCTGGAGGACCGTCCGGTATCGAACGTCGCAATATCCCGCACGCACTGCACCAAGACGGAGCCGATACCGAAAATAATTCACATCCCTTCAACCAAAAAATATTATAAAATCCAGGATTTTGCAACCATTAATCGAAATGTTTGTCAAAAGAATGCGGTAGGTGACGCTTTATTGATAATTTAGCCTAACAGTTTTGGCTCTGAAATTAGGACAAAAAGTTATAGTTGGCTATGTCAGAGTAAATATCTACCCATAGCCTGCACTTATGTGTGACATGTAGCTTTTCTTTCTTTCCTCTCATTAGTTTTCTCCCCCGGTGGTCCTGAATTTAGCCTACTCTTATTTACATGGGCTATAATAGGGCTACAAACAGGATTAGACCACTTAGGGTCGTATTTCTTTGAAGCTCACCTGCGCACTATCAGAAAAAAATAAAATATGTTAAGAACAATACCTTTCACGTTTCTATATTCTACAGTGACATTTGGCTGCGTAATTTGAACGTCTTTGCATCTGATTGAGGATAAATCAATTAGCATAACTTTTCATTCCACAATCTTAATGCAGTATGTTTTGACTGATACGTCTTTAACTTTGCTTTGTAGCTTAAAGTTTAAACCAACTATGGGCCGAAGGTGTCGCCTACAAAATAATGATGCTGATGAATGTGCGTTTTTATGTGGAAATTTGAGAGTTCTAATATGGTTTGTGGAACATCTTGCAAAGCTCTTTAGTGACATTAAGAAACGTACAGTAGACTTCTTCGCCCTTTTTCTAATGTAGAAACTTAAACATAATTAAACTCTATCTCTATACTATCCATCAATTAAAGCACAAAATAACTTTCCTTCACCACTTTATTTTTTGCTCAACTCTTCTAGTACAGTACCACTCCTAGCACTTCTCAGTTTAGACAGGGTCATAAATAGCATCTCTCTCACTGTCTTTAGTCTTTCTTTCTCTCTTACACTCTCTCTTGTCTCCTCCCTGCTACCTCTGTATTTCTTTTTTTCTCTCTCTCTCACTCCCCCCTCTCTAATGCAGTCTCTTAGTGGACATGTTGCCTTTGGCATCACAGGCTATAAGCCTCAGCCTCTGTCAGTGACATCAGACTTTAAAGGCCCAGTGCAGTCAAAAGTGTGATTTTCCTGTGTTTTATATTTATTTCCACTCTATGAAGTTGGAATAAGGCTGTGAAATTGTGGAAATTATGACAATGCCCTTTTTGTGTAAGAGCTGTTTGAAAAGACTGCCTGAAATTTCAGCCTGCTTTGGTGGGATGGAGTTTTGGACTGCCTGGTGACATCATCAATAGACCAATAAGAGAGTTTCAAACCTCTCTGCCAATAACAGCTCATTTTCAGTTTTCCCCTCCCCACTCAGACCACTCCCAGAAAGTCCTATCAACATTCTTGCTTGAGAAATAGCTCTTTGCTAAGAAGCTATTTTCGTTTATTTTTTACAATTTTAATTTAAAACAACGTAGCATATATAGTAAATATAAATAGTAAATATCAACCGTGTTGATATTTCATTTTGATGGGAACTATATTCTGAGGAGAATTGTTGCTAACCCTCATGATGGGTATTCTTCTCCTCTCAATGCAACCCATCTGAAGAAGATCATTGCACATATATGATCTGACCCCCGCGGCACTGCTTTGGCACTTTACTCTAGTGGCACCAATATGATTCTAGCTCATAACTACCAAACTATTATCAATATTGAATTTCAGGGCTCTTTTGAACCAACCTAATTTGCCAGACGTGGTTTAAAATGCTGGTGACAGAGTGGGCGTATATTACTTGTTATTATCGCTAGCTTGTGTGCTTTGTGGCCACAAAGGTTGTTGTCCAGGGCACACATTAGAGTAGAACACCCACCCCCCAAGCTATGTCTGGAGATGCGGTCTCGACAAACAAATGTTATTGCCACCATTGGTTGTGAAATTGAACTTTTGTAGAGTTCGTCAACCACTGGTAGGTAGTACAACTACAGTGAGGGAAAAAAGTATTTGATCCCCTGCTGATTTTGTACGTTTGCCCACTGACAAAGAAATGATCAGTCTATAATTTTAATGGTAGGTTTATTTGAACAGTGAGAGACAGAATAACAACAACAAAATCCAGAAAAACGCATGTCAAAAATGTTATAAATTGATTTGCATTTTAATGAGGGAAATAAGTATTTGACACCCTCTCAATCAGAAAGATTTCTGGCTCCCAGGTGTCTTTTATACAGGTAACGAGCTGAGATTAGGAGCACACTCTTAAAGGGAGTGCTCCTAATCTCAGTTTGTTACCTGTATAATAGACACCTGTCCACAGAAGCAATCAATCAATCAGATTCCAAACTCTCCACCATGGCCAAGACCAAAGAGCTCTCCAAGGATGTCAGGGACAAGATTGTAGACCTACACAAGGCTGGAATGGGCTACAAGACCATCGCCAAGCAGCTTGGTGAGAAGGTGACAACAGTTGGTGCGATTATTCGCAAATGGAAGAAACACAAAAGAACTGTCAATCTCCCTCGGCCTGGGGCTCCATGCAAGATCTCACCTCGTGGAGTTGCAATGATCATGAGAATGGTGAGGAATCAGCCCAGAACTACACAGGAGGATCTTGTCAATGATCTCAAGGCAGCTGGGACCATAGTCACCAAGAAAACAATTGGTAACACACTACGCCGTGAAGGACTGAAATCCTGCTGTGTCCGCAAGGTCCCCCTGCTCAAGAAAGCACATATACAGGGCCGTCTGAAGTTTGCCAATGAACATCTGAATGATTCAGAGGAGAACTGGGTGAAAGTGTTGTGGTCAGATGAGACCAAAATCGAGCTCTTTGGCATCAACTCAACTCGCCATGTTTGGAGGAGGAGGAATGCTGCCTATGACCCCAAGAACACCATCCCCACCGTCAATCATGGAGGTGGAAACATTATGCTTTGGGGGTGTTTTTCTGCTAAGGGGACTGGACAACTTCACCGCATCAAAGGGACGATGGACGGCGCCATGTACCATCAAATCTTGGGTGAGAACCTCCTTCCCTCAGCCAGGGCATTGAAAATGGGTCGTGGCAACAAAGGAGTGGCTCAAGAAGAAACACATTAAGGTCCTGGAGTGGCCTAGCCAGTCTCCAGACCTTAATCCCATAGAAAATCTGTGGAGGGAGCTGAAGGTTTGAGTTGCCAAACGTCAGGCTCGAAACCTTAATGACTTGAAGAAGATCTGCAAAGAGGAGTGGGACAAAATCCCTCCTGAGATGTGTGCAAACCTGGTGGCCAACTACAAGAAACGTCTGACCTCTGTGATTGCCAACAAGGGTTTTGCCACCAAGTACTAAGTCATGTTTTGCAGTGGGGTCAAATACTAATTTCCCTCATTAAAATGCAAATCAATTTATAACATTTTTGACATGCGTTTTTCTGGATTTTGTTGTTGTTATTCTGTCTCTCACTGTTCAAATAAACCTACCATTAAAATTATAGACTGATCATGTCTTTGTCAGTGGGCAAACGTACAAAATCAGCAGGGGATCAAATACTTTTTTTCCCTCACTGTATGTTGACACCAGGGTTGGGGTCAATTCACTGTCAATTAAGTCAAATCAGGAGGTTGGCTGAAATTCCATTTCTAATGTTCTTTGCCATTTCAGTTTATTTGAAGACACTTTCTGATAGACTCATGGGTTCAATCAAATGTAATTTTCAACCAAGAATCTGAAATTGCAATAGTGGGGGTGGTTGTGTGATTCACACACTTTTTGTTAGCTACCTGAACTGGAATGATGGATAGATAAATAGATAAATCCATTAGGATTTTGAATCTCTATTGAATCTCCAGCCCAAATAATATATAATAATCCTTACTAGTGATTTCCACGTCAATGACATCAATCTCCCATTGACATCAATACTTGATTTACGTGAAAGTTCGAATTACAGCACACACACTTCTCAACTTACGGTGCAGCCCTAAATGACTCTAGAGGTAAGATGAGAAAACTCGTGGTATGTGTGATAGAGGGAACAGACAACGGGGAGTAGGAGAGTAATTTTCCCTAAGAGACTTTTGTGTGGTAACAGACATGATGAGTGATTTTATGAATATGAGGAAGCAGGTTAAAGGAACAAACAAAAAGTAACTGGGGTCTACATGGTTGTTAAAGGGATAGTTCAACCAAATTGCATTGTAATTTGGGTCAACTATCCTTTTAACAGACGAGGTTGTAGGGAAGATTCAGAGGTAGTACTTAAAAAAAGATACTTGAACTAGCCTCCGGTGCTCATTGAACAAGGGGAAGTTAGATAAATGAACTAGGGTTACGGAGGTTAGACCAGTGATGAAGAGACTAAGAGCTGAGAGAATTAAAAACAAGCCGCCAACATTCTCTTGTGTATCTGGGCCAGAACATTCCTTTTGTAGTTTTCTATAAAACAACATGCGGATGTTGTGCCTCGCTGGGCCGTGCAGAGACTGCTAACATCTTCTGCTTCCCCCGTGACTGTCTCCTCAGTCTCCTCATCCAGGAAACCAGGACATCATGCACCTTCTTGCCTTTCATCCCACCCTGCAGGAGGCGAAAGCAGGCCGCTCTGAGTGCACTCTGTTTCTCTGGCTTTCACCACGCAGCCTCTGGGACTGTGGGCTCTTTAATTCAGTACAGTAATGGACACAACATATAGACTGGGCGGTTGGAGAAGAGAAGGGGAGATGGGGGAGTGGGAGCATAAGCAGAAAAGTGAGAGGTGTCCATATAAGTGAATGGGCCTGAACAAATACTGACGGAAGTGAAGGAATGGAGAGCATGAGGTAAGGAGGGAGAGCAAGATTCAATCTAAACAAAACACACATTAAGTATCCCCCAACCTTGAAATGAAGTGAAAGAAAACATAACCTCACTAAAATGGTGCTGTAATATCCAGTGCTTGTAGCTGTTTATGTGATTTGACCTTGATACGCCTCTTGTATGACACATGTACTGTGGCAGTAGACCCATGGTCAACCAACCCAGGATCTGGGAGAGATACAGGATGTGCAGGCTTTTGTTCCAGCCCTGCACTAATGCACCTGAATTAACACATTTGATTCAACAAATTGATTGGAACAAAATTGTTTGTGGTGGGCTGGAACAAAAAGCTGCACACCACATAGCTCCCTTGGCTCAGGGTTGGTGACTATAGTGCACAGTGCATCACAACACAACACAGTACAGTACAGTATGTGTTTGATATCATAATGAAGTGCAGTATGGGTTGTGATAATCTATTTTCAAAGTCCCCACAGTTACTCCCCAACAACTACTTAAGCGTTTTGCTTGCATTCTACCTGTCTTTTTGTGTCTGTATAAAGCGGGTATCATAGTCCAAACCTTGTATGCGTATGCACAGCAGTGTTCTAGAATATTGGACCATTGGCATTCATACTTTTCAAATTCTCAGTGCGGCTTAAGCAATTTCTCCAACTGTTAACACGTTCAAATGAAAAAAGGACACGTGTTGGTTGGGAATTTTGGGAAGGTGCGCGTTCGGGCTGTGCGTCCCCGGCGGACAGTGGTCTCACAGCCGCGTAGCTACAGTGGGGAAAAAAAGTATTTAGTCAGCCACCAATTGTGCAAGTTCTCCCACTTAAAAAGATGAGAGAGGCCTGTAATTTTCATCATAGGTACACGTCAACTATGATAGACAAAATGAGGGAAAAAAATCTAGAAAATCACATTGTAGGATTTTTAATGAATTTATTTGCAAATTATGGTGGAAAATAAGTGTTTGGTCAATAACAAAAGTTTCTCAATACTTTGTTATATACCCTTTATTGGCAATGACACAGGTCAAACGTTTTCTGTAAGTCTTCACAAGGTTTTCACACACTGTTGCTGGTATTTTGGCCCATTCCTCCATGCAAATCTCCTCTAGAGCAGTGATGTTTTGGGGCTGTCGCTGGGCAACACGGACTTTGAACTCCCTCCAAAGATTTTCTATGGGGTTGAGATCTGGAGACTGGCTAGGCCACTCCAGGATTTTGAAATGCTTCTTACGAAGCCACTCCTTCGTTGCCCGGGCGGTGTGTTTGGGATCATTGTGATGCTGAAAGACCCAGCCACGTTTCATCTTCAATGACCTTGCTGATGGAAGGAGGTTTTCACTCAAAATCTCACGATATATGGCCCCATTCATTCTTTCTTTACACGGATCAGTCGTCCTGGTCCCTTTGCAGAAAAACAGCCCCAAAGCATGATGTTTCCACCCCCATGCTTCACAGTAGGTATGGTGTTCTTTGGATGCAACTCATCATTCTTTGTCCTCCAAACACGACGAGTTGAGTTTTTACCAAAAAGTTCTATTTTGGTTTCATCTGACCATATGACATTCTCCCAATCCTCTTCTGGATCATCCAAATGCACTCTAGCAAACTTCAGACGGGCCTGGACATGTACTGGCTTAAGCAGGGGGACACGTCTGGCACTGCAGGATTTGAGTCCCTGGCGGCGTAGTGTGTTACTGATGGTAGGCTTTGTTACTTTGGTCCCAGCTCTCTGCAGGTCATTCACTAGGTCCCCCCGTGTGGTTCTGGGATTTTTGCTCACCGTTCTTGTGATCATTTTGACCCCACGGGGTGAGATCTTGCCCCAGATCGAGGGAGATTATCAGTGGTCTTGTGTGTCTTCCATTTCCTAATAATTGCTCCCACAGTTGATTTCTTCAAACCAAGCTGCTTACCTATTGCAGATTCAGTCTTCCCAGCCTGGTGCAGGTCTACAATTTTGTTTCTGGTGTCCTTTGACAGCTCTTTGGTCTTGGCCATAGTGGAGTTTGGAGTGTGACTGTTTGAGGTTGTGGACAGGTGTCTTTTATACTGATAACAAGTTCAAACAGGTGCCATTAATACAGGTAACGAGTGGAGGACAGAGCAGCCTCTTAAAGAAGAACTTACAGGTCTGTGAGAGCCAGAAATCTTGCTTGTTTGTAGGTGACCAAATACTTATTTTCCACCATAATTTGCAAATAAATTCATTAAAAATCCTACAATGTGATTTTCTGGATTTTCTCAATTTGTCTGTCATAGTTGACGTGTACCTATGATGAAAAGTACAGGCCTCTCTCATCTTTTTAAGTGGGAGAACTTGCACAATTGGTGGCTGACTAAATACTTTTTTCCCCCACTGTATGTCCCAATTGGACACCGGACTATCAAGTCTCAGCGTCTGTGGACTATGATTTATGCTTTAAGAACTGGTTGAAAGAGCCCTATTTTGTACTGTGTGTATCATGTACTTGAGGATATTGCACAGGCAGCTTTTTCCGAATATGGAATTGCTGTTGGTGGTGTATCTGGGCGACGCTTGAGTTCTATTTACTGTTTTCTTAATTAAAAGGAGCAGAAAAGCTGGCGGCACAATGACTTTAAGTCCAAGGATGTTCTTCCTGAAAGATAACCAGGCGTGACCGCCATTTTATTCACTGTCATGAGTCTGTCGCCATTAGGATGGATACAAACCTGTGTTTACGGATACTCATATAACAATTATACAGTTTGAGACGTCCCTGGTTACCGACCTCTTCATGTGGTCATTGCTTTTCTTCATGTCCTGTTTTAAGGGATTCCTAGTGGCTTTCTGCTTCCTTTTCCATAAAAAATAAAATAAAGCGTGCCAGTGCCTCTGGTCCTGTAATTTTCCCACATCCACTTTTGTAAGAGAACTGGTATGAAGTGAAACACAGTGTGCAGCTGTCCACTTGCCCGTCGCTCGCCCTTTGTGAGACGTTTTCCAGTCGAGAATACTAATGGCTGCATGTCTGTGGAGCTAACCCAGCTGGCGTGAATACAAACAACATTTATTCGACCACAAGAAAGTGCCGTTTTATACTACACTTGTGTCTCTTTGTTTGCTTTGTGTTTGAAGACCTTTGCTTGGATAGATTGTCATTTGATATAAAGTAACAGTAATGATGAGTGTAAGGATTAAAAAAACACTGATTAATGACCTGTGCACTTCGATTGCGAGTGACTTCAGCTAACATGATTTTCGTGAACATCTGGAAAATTGCCTTTTAAAGTATATAGCTGTGCGGAGGTCACTAATCTGTGTTGGACGGAATCCCGGCCTAAATTTGAACACATAGTGCATGTGTGCTTATATATATATATATATACAGTGAGGGAAAAAAGTATTTGATCCCCTGCTGATTTTGTATGTTTGCCCACTGACAAAGAAATGATCAGTCTATAATTTTAATGGTAGGTTTATTTGAACAGTGAGAGACAGAATAACAACATAAAAATCCAGAAAAACGCATGTCAAAAATGTTATAAATTGATTTGCATTTTAATGAGGGAAATAAGTATTTGACCCCCTCTCAATCAGAAAGAATTCTGGCTCCCAGGTGTCTTTTATACAGGTAACGAGCTGAGATTAAAGCACACTCTTAAAGGGAGTGCTCCTAATCTCAGTTTGTTACCTGTATAAAAGACACCTGTCCACAGAAGCAATCAATCAATCAGATTCCAAACTCTCCACCATGGCCAAGACCAAAGAGCTCTCCAAGGATGTCAGGGACAAGATTGTAGACCTACACAGGGCTGGAATGGGCTACAAGACCATCGGCAAGCAGCTTGGTGAGAAGGTGACAACAGTTGGTGCGATTATTCGCAAATGGAAGAAACACAAAAGACCTGTCAATCTCCCTCGGCCTGGGGCTCCATGCAAGATCTCACCTCGTGGAGTTGCAATGATCATGAGAACGGTGAGGAATCAGCTCAGAAATACACGGGAGGATCTTGTCAATGATCTCAAGGCAGCTGGGACCATAGTCAACAAGAAAACAATTGGTAACACACTATGCCGTGAAGGACTGAAATCCTGCAGCGCCCGCAAGGTCCCCCTGCTCAAGAAAGCACATATACAGGCCCGTCTGAAGGTTGCCAATGAACATCTGAATGATTCAGAGGAGAACTGGGTGAAAGTGTTGTGGTCAGATGAGTCAGGGACAGGACAACTTCACCGCATCAAAGGGACGATGGACGGGGCCATGTACCGTCAAATCTTGGGTGAGAACCTCCTTCCCTCAGCCAGGGCATTGAACATTTCGTTGAAATTTGTCCTTTGGTCTGGAGTCCAAATTGGAGATTTTTGGTTCCAACTCCGTGTTTTTGTGAGATGTGGTGTGGGTAAACGGATGATCTCCGCATGTGTATTTCCCACCGTAAAGCATGGAGGAGGAGGTGTTATGGTGTGGGGGTGCTTTGCTGGTGACACTGTCTGTGATTTATTTGGAGTGCTGCATCAGATGACTTGGCCTCCACAATCCCCCGACCTCAACCAAATTGAGATGGTTTGGAATGAGTCTGACAGCAGAGTGAAGGAAAAGCAGCCAACAAGTGCTCAGCATATGTGGGAACTCCTTCAAGACTGTTGGAAAAGCATTCCAGGTGAAGCTGGTTGAGATAATGCCAAGAGTGTGCAAAGCTGTCATCAAGGCAGGGGGTGGCTATTTGAAGAATCTCAAATATAAAATGTATTTTGATTTGTTTAACACTTTTTTGGTTACTACATGATTCCATATGTATTATTTCATAGTTTTGATGTCTTCACTATTATTCTACAATCAAGAAAATAGTAAAAATAAAGAAAAACCCTTGAATGAGTAGGTGTTCTAAAACTTTTTACCGGTAGTGTGTGTACTGGGTTATCCTTGGTCAGCCAAATGAACTTGCCTCTGTTTTGAGGGTGTCTGGGGCTCATTTAGTAGGCTAGTAGTAAGCTCTGTGAAACTGTTGGAGGTGGATTGGTGCAACTGGTGCTTGATTATTAGAATTTCAGTCACATAGAATGACTAAAAAAGCCTGAGTTAAGCCAGCTGGATAGGAGTGTACTCCCCCAACACAAACACATATACCCACACACACACAAACACGCGCACAGAGTATTTGTGTGTATTTTGATGAGAGGACCTTCTTCATTTAATGTGAGCAGGGTTGTATTTTTTGAGCAGCTCACAGACTCTGCTTGTCTCTAAAACAGTGTCTGCAGTCATAGTGACCTAATAGTCTACTGTGTCTGTTAATAGCTACTGTGTCTGTTAATAGTCTACTGTGTCTGTTAATAGTCTACTGTGTCTGTTAATAGCTACTGTGTCTGACTGAAAGATAATACAAATGAAAGAAAAACAATATTCACAAATATGTGTACAAAGACGGATAACTAAATCATTTTCCAAATGGTTGGTTTTCCGCAATAATTGATTTTTTTTGCAGAACATGCACTCAAATTGGCCTTTATCTGCAGAATTTACCATTGCTCCCCAAAATGCATTTATGTTCACCGCTGCTAGATGGCACCAGCCATATACTTACCCAGTCAGCTAACCTAACGTAGCCAGGCGTAAAAGAAATGCCTGAAACTAGATCCACCACATTCTGGTCTTGACAAGAATAAAAAAGAACTGTCAGGAAAGGTTCTCTTCTGCACTTTTCAACCAATCCAGTAAATGTGAAGGAGAAGTTAAGATGGAGTGTTGCCTTGTTAACTTCCGTTTGTTGGCAACTTCGCTAATGCTACCAGTCAGCAAACATTCAGGGAGATTCTCAATTGGCCAAAAGTCTGTCCTCTCCTCGACTCCGTCCTCCTCTCCTCTCTGACCAGGAAACCGATAAGTGGTCGAGTGGTCGAGGAGAATGTCAGTTTGTCAGTAAGCGAATGCAGGAGTGTCCTCCTCACCTCGATAGCCTCCTCTCGCGAAATCCTCTGCGGAAGAGTTTTGAAATCTGCCACACCCCCTTTGAATCAGCTGTTGCACATATTTAAAAACGATACGCTACTTATCCTTTTATCTATAAAATCTCTAGCACAACTAGCTACATTTCTTTTTAATACTTCACACATTTATTTTGGGATACCACACCTGTAACCGTCATTTGCATGATAACGTGCTAGTGAAGAAGGTCTAATTTCATAGAAGTGCATTTGTTTCCACGTTTCCTCCACTCCTCTCCTTGATTACCTTTGACTTTAAAAAAAAAAAAGAGGTGAGGAGAAGAGGATGCAAGGAGTTGAGCAGAACCAATTGAGATTCTCCCTTCATCATGGAGGAAGAGAGGTTTTTACGACCAGCTAAGCCAAATGGCAGAAAACTAGCCAACTTATCAGGTTTATAGGGTTTTTAATTTTTTTTAAAATATTTGCTCTAAGTGGTATTTTAGGCTAATTTTTTAAGTCTGTAGAATTTTGGGAAAGTGCATCTAGGAAAAACGGGGAAGGCGTAAAGATGTTACAATGAGTGAAATCATAATTGTATAGGTGATGAATCGTATAGATGATTCAACTGGTGGTCAAGACACACAAAATTGAAATGTTTTAATTTATGTGAGATAAAAGGTAAAAATATACCCTTTTGGAGAAGAATCTGAAAAGTACTCAGAAGTATGAGGTAAAGTTTGTTGCCCTGTCCTTTCTGAAAAGGGTCTGAAAAGTATTTTGAAAAAATATAAGAAGTAGGCCTACTTCTGCTGTCTTTTGTGAAAACTGCCTCTGCACTTATTTGTGTGAGGTAGATGTTTATGGCCACTCCCCTTTCCATCGTGGCCTACTCTAAGGTCAGTGAGAGCTGCCTGCCATGCCTGCTGAGCTAATAACAGGGTCAGACTGGTGAAGAAGCACTGGCAGGCAGCCTTGGGCTATGCAGACGTGTAATTTTCTCTTGGAGGTGATGAATCGCTTGCGGTCAGATGTGGATGTGCCGTCGGATTCCTTTTTGGGGGCTGAGCGACTGCTCCTCCAATGCCTCTGTGTCCTATATTAGGCTTTTTAATGTCCCTGGTCTTTTTACCATTTAGTCTTTACTTTATTCCCATAAATGGTCAATTTTCTGTCACCCCCCCCCCCCATTTTTTCCTCATACTGCATGTGCTTTTCCCTAATCTCTTCATCAACTACACTTTCAATCTCATCATCCTCTTTTTCTCCACACATCCTTCTCTCTGCTCCTGCTCTCTCTCATCTCTCTATCAATCTGTTTGACCATGTTTATGTCGTTCAATCTACTTGTTTACCCTCTGGCATTGATCTAACATTTTAATACTCATCATTCATCACTCTCTGCCTCCTCTGTCCTTATCTTCACTCAAATCATAGCGGGTTTATAATGTAGGAGTAAAATAAGCTTAAAAAATAATACTGTAACCAGTTGGTGAAGTAGATATTGTTTCTTCAATGAGATACAAATGAGGTGCATATGTAATCTGTCATTTTTTTCCTCGTCTCACTTTCACTACCTCTCCTATGCAGACCAGTAAGGTTCCTCCCCCTTCTGTATGCAGTTTGCCATCTGACCCTGGCTTTCCCCGCGCAAACAGGATACTCAGAAGGTACAGATCTTCTAACGTATATTTTGATGGACTATCATTATTTGTGATGACAATGCATTGCATTAAAACATTTATTTTGATTTCAGGTTATTATTTTAAAGGGATACTTTGGGATTTTGGCCTTTACTTCGGCCTTTATCTACTTCCCCAGAGTCAGATGAACTTGTGGATACCATTTTTATGTCTCTGCGTGCAGTTTGAAGGAAGTTGTTAACTAGCGTTAGCCTACTTGCTAACAAGCATTAGCGCAATGACTGGAGATCTATGGGAGACTTCCAGTCATTGTGCTAATGCTAGTTAGCATTTGCTCGCGAAACTACCTCTTAACTCCTTCATACTGGACGCAGAGACATGAAATGGTATCACAAAATATCCCTTTAACCTTAGCAGCCCTGTGGTCATCATGAACTAGAATTTAAAGCCTCAGTTGCTGTATAGTAATTGCTGCATAATAGTTGCTGTATTACAATTGCTTGGGATAGAAGATAGTTAAGATAAATATGGATTATGTATAATTTATATTTCTATATATTCAACATGTACATGATTAAAGCATTTAGTTTTCCGCCCATTCCGTAATCATATAATATTTTTTCTGAAATTGTACTCATCCATGGAATATAACCATTGCTGCAGAATTTTGAAGATTGTCCCCAAAATGCATTATTCACCACCACCACTAGAGGTTAACAGCCGGCCACTTACTCAGTCAGCATCGTTTACTCACTGTATCTCTCCTTCCTGACCTAGATGACAACCGACAACTCCAGGTCACCATCTCCAAGGCAACCCCGATCTCCACTGCACACCTGGGAGGCTCCATCACAATCCCCTGTCTGGTGTCCATGTCCCCTGGGCCCCCCTCGTCCTCCTTGCCCCCCATCCTGCCCCGGGTCAAGTGGAGCGTGTTGCATGATGGGGAGCAGGAGGAGACAGAGATCCTAGTGGCGCGGGGTCAAAGGGTGAAGGTCAACGAGGCCTACACAGAACGAGCCTCCCTGGTCAACTTTGCAGACTCGCCTGAGAACCTCTCCCTCTGGCTGGGGGAGCTGCGCTCAACAGACACAGGGCACTACCGCTGCGAGGTGCAGCAGGGCCTGGACGACGCCAGTGACTTCACACAGATCAAGGTCAAAGGTAACAGAGGGAGAAGCATTTTTAAGGTTGTAGGAGTCTGTGAGTTTTTTTACTTGTCGAACAGGTTTAGAAACTGCTTATAGAAAACAAACAGATTTAGCCTTGTATGCAACTATTCACATTTTTTCTTCCAGTTTTTACCACATATTGTGTATTTGAGCCTGTCCATATTTCTCTGTGCATGTATGTTTGTGTTTGTGCACACGTGTGTGCATGTAGGTGTGGTCTTCCACTACAGACACGCCTCTGGCCGCTATGCATTTTCGTTCAGTGAGGCCCAGGCGGCGTGCGAGGGCATTGGGGCACACATCGCTACTCCCGACCACCTTCTGGCAGCCTACTACGATGGCTATGAACAGTGTGACGCCGGCTGGCTCGCTGATCAATCTGTCAGGTATCCACAACTTGCCCTATAATACAAAGACACATTTCTTAAAGGTGCAAGACTTTGTTTTGACTACCTGAGTTATTAACGGGCAGTGCTGAGGTGCCAAGGTTATAGAATGTCAACAAACAGCAGTGAGCTAATTCACACATCTATAGGCTACTGGGGTTTTTGAATTTGGCCCACTGTGTGGTATGTAATACTATTTCACGCACCAGCTGTTGTACTTTTCTGGCAGACTGTGTGTTGGCCTGATGGCAGCTGAATCAGTCTCACTGTAGTCCTGGTGTTAATTAAGCTAGATTTCCTCGTGTGTATTGTCATGGCTTACATGTGTAAGATAAGCACTCTATTTGGTCTTTGTTCCCAACACCCACAACAATTCCTGCTAACAGATTAAAAAACAATGACTGAGACCCCTCACCTATCAGAGTTAGTCTTTACAATGTTTTCTTAGCACAGGAAATACAAATATTTTTGCACCTATTACGCAGATATCCAATCCAAGTTCCCCGGGAAGGTTGCTATGGTGACATGGATGGCCGCCCAGGAGTGAGGAACTATGGGACGCTGGAACCAGAGGAACTGTTTGATGTGTATTGTTATGTGGAGCATATTGATGGTAAAAAATAGAACTTGTGAATAGCTTACCGTAAAAAGGCAGTGTAAATAGTGACAGTGTGAATAGCTCCCCGTAAAAAAGGATGTAAATGTGATTCTACTGAGCAATAACGTATGTTTGTACGTTTGTGACATTGTGTAAAAAATCATAAAGGACAATATGTAATTTTGTCAAGTCAGATGCTTTGTCATTGTATATCATCGTGTTCTGAAGGCACTCTATAAAATGACAGTGTTGGGTCTCCTTAAAGGGATAGTTCACCCAAATACAAAATTACATATTGGTTTCCTTACCCTCCAAACAGTCTCTGAACAAGGTATGACAGCAATCCATGCTTTGATTTAGTTTCCCTGGTATTGTTTCCACATGCTAACGTTTTAGCATTTAGCATTTGTGGCACCATCCAAGTCATGGGACCGATATTAGCATTTTTCACGCATCATGTTCAAATAGTTTCTAAGTTACTTTGTTGAGCTTCACAATTGTAGATAGTTTCTGATTATTTGGACATGATGTGCGAAAAAAATGCTAATATCGGTCCCATGACTTGAATGGGATGTGTGACACAAATGCTAAAACGTTAGCATGTGGTAACAGTGCCAGGTAAACTAAACCAAATCATGGATTGCTATCATACCTTTACCATAGACCATTTACAGGGCAAGGAAACCATTATATCATTTTGTAATTTGTGTGAACTATCCCTTTAAGTTACAGGCATGGAGGGTTTTTAGCTAGTGGACAGAGTACACACTTTAGATGAGTGAGATAATTTGTATTTACACAGCATACATCTTAGACATTGATAGTACTTTCCCTCCAAGGACAGGTACATTACATATCAAATCTTGATGTCAATTTCCCAACCAAGGTCTCATTCTCCCATGTGTTCAGCCTTTTGTATTTTTCCAGATACTTCAGGGAAATTAAGGATCTAGGACAATTGTTCGGGATCTAATTCCCATTAGGAGTCTAACACGTGACCCTTTTTGTGCAGGGGAGGTGTTCCATGGCTCTGCCCCAAAGCAGCTGTCATTGGATGAGGCTTGGGCGTACTGCGAGAAGGAAGGGGCAAAGCTGGCTACCACAGGGCAGCTGTACATGGCGTGGAGTGAGGGTCTGGACCGCTGCAACCCTGGCTGGCTGTCTGATGGCAGTGTGCGCTACCCCATCATCACCCCTAGAGAGCGCTGTGGAGGGCCTCAGGCAGGGGTCAAGACCCTGTATCGTTACAGCAACCAGACAGGCTTCCCTGAATCATCCAGCCGCCATGATGTTTACTGTTTCAGAGGTCTGTTTTGTACTGGACTAATAAGTAGTTAAAAGATCCTTAAGAGTCTATTGACGCACCCGTGCGTTAAACCTAAGTAACATAATAATAAAATCCCCATAAAAATCTGTCAGTTTAAACTAGAGATATCAGTTTTTTTCCATGGGCTGCGTCTCAATCCCCCACAACTGCTATGTCAGCCTTCCGCATCTGCCGTGGAAGGTGGCCAAGTTACAGCGGTGTTTGTCAGACCATGAGACATCCCGAAAATCGGTCTTCTCACGAAAATGTCTGTAGCGTCTGAACGGTTTGGCCTAAAAAACTATTATGACCACTCTATGGAAAGGGGAGGCACTCACGAACACGATGGTGTTCTCTGTTTTCTACGAGGACACAGGACTCATCTGAAGGTAACCCATACAAACAAATGGAAGTATGAAGGTCGTTTTGTGCCTACAAAAATAAGGGGTTAATTGTGTGTAAAAAATATATATTTAAAAATCCTGAGCTTTCTTATATCTCCTAAATATAGGACAGACACTTCAACATTTTATTCCTTATGATTTATTTTTTGACTGTCTTTTTTTGCCATTTACAGTGAGGGAAAAAAAGTATTTGATCCCCTGCTGATTTTGTACGTTTGCCCACTGACAAAGACATGATCAGTCTATAATTTTAATGGTAGGTTTATTTGAACAGTGAGAGACAAAATAATAACAAAAAAATCCAGAAAAACGCATGTCAAAAATGTTATAAATTGATTTGCATTTTGATGAGGGAAATAAGTATTTGACCCCACTGCAAAACATGACTTAGTACTTGGTGGCAAAACCCTTGTTAGCAATCACAGAGGTCAGCCGTTTCTTGTAGTTGGTCACCAGGTTCCACTCCTCTTTGCATTCCATTTACGAATAATCGCACCAACTGTTGTCACCTTCTCACCAAGCTGCTTGGCGATGGTCTTGTAGCCCATTCCAGCCTTGTGTAGGTCTACAATCTTGTCCCTGACATCCTTGGAGAGCTCTTTGGTCTTGGCCATGGTGGAGAGTTTGGAATCTGATCGATTGATTGCTTCTGTGGACAGGTGTCTTTTATACAGGTAACAAACTGAGATTAGGAGCACTTCCTTTAAGAGTGTGCTCCTAATCTCAGCTCGTTACCTGTATAAAAGACACCTGGGAGCCAGAAATCTTTCTGATTGAGAGGGGGTCAAATACTTATTTCCCTCATTAAAACATTTTTGACATGCGTTTTTCTGGATTTTTTTGTTGTTATTCTGTCTCTCACTGTTCAAATAAACCTACCATTAAAATTATAGACTGATAATTTCTTTGTCAGTGGGCAAACGTACAAAATCAGCAGGGGATCAAATACTTTTTCCCCTCACTGTATGAATGTGTTATTCAATGCGTTTCTATGGGCCAAATTCAATATTTGATCAAATAATGTAACAAAAAAAAAAAAATATTATATCTATCTATCTATATCTATATGTATATATATATACTTAAATGGGTCCTAAAATTCTAATTACATAGCTAGATGATCCATGGTATGACCATCTTAAAATAATTCCATATGTTAGCTTAGTAGCCCCCCCCCCCCCTCATTTCAGAGGTCTGTTTTGTACTGGCCTAATTAGTAATTAAAAGAGATAGTACGGTACTTACTTCAGAGGTCTGTTTTGTACTGGACTAATTAGTAATTAAAAGAGATAGTACAGTACTTACTTCAGAGGTCTGTTTTGTACTGGACTAATTAGTTGTAACATATATAATATAGGTTTTATTATTGCAAGAGATTTGTTGGATTGCATGCTTCCATGGATTATTTTGTGTTGTTATGCAGAGAATGTGTTTGTCTAATGAATGGACATAAAACGATCTCCTGTCTACACCCTGTTCTTCTCAGGTAATGGGAATCCTCACACTGATGCCCCCATGGACTACATGGCCACTGAGCCAGAGGACATCAGACAAGATATTGTCGTTATTATGGAGCCTGCCGAGGAGCTCCATCTGAGCCAGGATCCAGAGCAAATGGAGCGAGAGGCCCAGAGTGTCCTGGAATCCCTCCCTGTCTTTCAGTCAGCTCCTGCTCGGGAGGACCTGCAGGGGACTCCCCCTACTGCCATGTTAAGCACAGAGGTCCCACTCACCCGTACAGCCTCCACCCAGGACCTCCTCCAGCCCTTTGATGAGACTTCACTTCCTGTAGAAGAAGACTACCACTCCCAAGATCCTACTTCACTACCCAACACCTCCAGTGAGCCAGACTCCCTCCACGAAGGAGACTATCACTCCCAACATCCTACTTCACTACCCAACACCTCCAGTGAGCCAGACTCCCTCTCCGAAGGAGACTATCATTCCCAGCATCCTACTTCACTACCCAACACCTCCAGTGAGCCAGACTCCCTCTCCGAAGGAGACTATCATTCCCAGCATCCTACTTCACTTCCCAGCACCTCCAGTGAGCCAGACTCCCTCCACGAAGGAGACTATCACTTCCAGAATTTTAGTTCACTACCCAGCACCTCAAGTGTGCCAGACTCCCCCCACGAAGAAGACTATCACTCCCAGCATCCTACTTCACTACCCAGCACCTCCAGTGAGCCAGACTCCCTCCACGAAGGAGACTATCACACCCAGTATACTACTTCACTACCCAGCACCTCCAGTGAGCCAGACTCCCTCCACGAAGGAGACTATCACTCCCAGAATTCTAGTTCATTACCCAGCACCTCCAGTGTGCCAGAGTCCTTCCACGAAGGAGACTATCACTCCCAGCATCCTACTTCATTACCCAGTACCTCCAGCGTGCCAAACTCCCTCCACGAAGGCAACTCCAGTCTCTACCGGCTCGAGCTGGAAACGACCCCAGAATTCCCAGAGCCGTCCTACGAGCCACACAGACATTACCAGCCGATGCCAGAGATTAACCCGGAGGAACCCGACTACCAGCAGTCAGGATCTTCCAAGCACTTCCAGCCGATGCCAGAGACCAACCTGGAGTTGGATCAACTGGAAGCCAACTACAGCACAACAGCAGGTAACCAGAGTCATCGGGAGAATGCACAAGAGACTACCACAATGACCTTTGACTCCATAGAGAATGCTACCGAGGCACATGACCCCACTGCAGAGAGGAGGCACAAAGAGGCGATTGTGGGAGAACCTGAGGAGACATCCATCTCGACCGAGTCCCCGGGAGAGCTTGATCCCCACCCAGTCTGGTCTACACTCTCCCCCTACGGAAAGGCAACCTCAGTGTGGTTGCCCCTGGATGGATCTGGAGATGTGTCCCAAGGTATGGCTAATGTGGCCCCCAATTCCTCATGTACTTTGGGCTATAGCTTTATGATACATGACATTTAATATTTTTTGTATTTTGTATTTATTAGGATCCCCAATTAGCTGCTGCCGAGGCAGCGGCTACTCTTGCTGGGGTCCAAACAGGAATCAACACAGCAAATAAAATACATAATATACATAAATATAGATAGCACTACATTTACATTACAATTCAGCCATTCAGCAGACTCTCCCATCCAGAGCGACCCACAGCTAGTGCATTCATCTTAAGATAGCCAGGCGAGACAACCACATATCACAGTCGTATCCCAACCACGTATCACATACACAATACAATACATAATACAATGCAAAATACAATACAAAATGCATAGAAATGTCTGTGTGTCTCTTTATAGTCCCCGTCATGCCTTAAGGTGTTCTTTTATCTAATTTTTGAATCTGGTTTTGTTTGCTAGCTTGAGTTACCTGGGGTGGCTGAGAGTTCCATTTAGTCATGGGCCTATTTAATACTGTGTGTTTCCTAGCCTCAGTTCTGGACCTGGGGACTGTGAAGAGACCTCTGGTTGCATGTCTTGTGTGATACCGATGAGTGTCCGAACTGTGTGTCAACTGCTTGAACAGACAGTTTGGTATCATCAACAGAAAGACCAATAGTGATGCAGTCAACCTCTCCTCAACTTTGAGTCAGAAGAGATTGACATGCATGTCATTGACATTCACCCTCTGTGTACATCTAAGTGTGATACGTGCTGCATTGTTCTGGACCAACTGCAATCTGCCTATTACATGAAAACCTGCTTGTTATTTTAGAAGCAAGTGTATTTTGATCATACTTGAAAATAGTGTATAATGTAAAAATAAAATAAATAATATCTTCGATGTTAGACGTTTTTGATCTTATAGTTGTTACAGATGTTACTCCTAACTCCTTTTCTCAAAAGTATGTACTTTGTCATTGTAGGGCTGTGTAGAACTTAAGACTTCATAATCATCCAACAATAATGTATATTGTACCTTCTTTACAGAGATAGACCTAGGTGTTCACCAGGGAATCCACACAGACAGATCCCCCACCTCTGAATCCTCTGACTTCACCCCTCAAATGTCTGCCTCCCCTGGAGCCACCAGCATCCCCAGTGAGCAGCAGACAAGAGTTCCGCATTCAAGCAGCATCTCATCTGGACTGGATCATTATGAGGAGCTGGGACTGGATGTGTACTCCACAGTAGCTGTGTACTCCACAGTAGGCCATCCACAAGGAACCTCCCAGGGAACTTCCTCCGCTAGGCCGGAAGGCAGCACCATTCTAGATTTCGAGGGTATCGTCATTCCAGAGAGATTGGAACCTTTAGGAGAAGTGAAGCTGACACTAGGGGAGTCTGATGAGGAGCACCTGGGGTCTGGAGAGGGCATAGCCACGACAGAGTCTCCAGACCTCTCCACCACCTCCCAGCTGCCTGTCGAGTTTACCACAATGGGCTATCAAACAACGACCATGTCCAGAATAGAGGTGGATCCCACCACCATGGACCCTGAAGAAGATAGAAGTGGACATGAGCCAGGCACTGATGAACCATCCCTGGGAGAAAAAGTTACCGTCTTCCCCCTTGAGTCGCAAACAACTAGCTGGGATCTGCACCGCTCCACCTCTGCATCCCAAGAGTCTCAGGAAGACCTTGAATACAGCGGGGAACCCCCATCCACCTCTTCCCAGACAGAGCTTCCAGACTCCTCAGCAGAAACTGATCGGTTTGGGTCAGACTCCTTGTCCACCTCAAGTACGGATCCCACCGCTGCCACTATGTCCACATCCACCATGTACACATCCACAGAGTGGGCCACACAGACCTGGAGCCCCACCACCTCCACCACACCAGGTCCCCCAGAAACATCTGAGCCGGAGAGGGTGACAGCTCTTATGCCCCCCGTAGATGAGGGCCAGTTGGATCTGGAATTCGGCTTCACCCAGCCGCCCACCCTGCTCATCTTGCCCAATGAGAGGGCTGCTGTGGGCAGTGCCAGGAAGATTTCAGGTAACACTCAAGCCACCCTAACCAGCCTAACCGCCCTCTTGCTGCTCGACAAGGCGATGCACTAAACCCCGGCCTCTCCCACCCCAAGCTGCCTTGCTCCATTTTCTGCAAACAACCACCCTCCCAACGGCTCCCCCCTCTTCGTCTGTCTCACTGTTTGTCTCAGCAGCCCACTCCCCCTCCTCCCCCTCCTTCCCCCTTAAAGAGCACCCTGCTCTTTGTGATCCCCAAGAATTGAGCATTGACAGATATATGGGACAACTCCCTTTTGACATTTGTCAAACAAACCAGTCTTGCTGTGCATGATGTTTTTGTCACTCAAAGATTGACTTCTGTGAAGTACTGTATTGCCCAGACACACCATTTCTGTGAAAGAGAATTGCGATGCTTGATTTTCTCCCCCTATTCTTCCTGCCAGAGTGATGTCCAACTTGCACCTTCACCGTCCTGAATGTTTCTGCATTCAAACAGTCAATTTCCTCTTACCAGGGGCCCATATTAGTTTGAGCACAATTCCAAGTGAAAAAAAAACAGTGTTATTAATCCAGACAAACATTTGTCCTTGCATTGTAACTCCACTAACTCTGAATGTAACAGCACTGATTCCCAAATGCAACACCACTGACATTTTATTGGCAAAGAATACAGATATTATTGATTTAATAGAGGGACAGTATCCCAATTATAAAACGTCAGCAACTTTTTAAACTAACTCAGCAGGTATTGAGTTAGTATATAGTAGATATATAATAGAATGTATGGCGAATAATGTCACTTCTATAACCATAATAAGGGAATGTCCAGCTTTCAAGTCTTGTAGACATGTAAATTACATCTAATTAGAATATTTGTAATGTTATTTGGGGTAAAAATGTCTGTAATACCATCAATCTCTCAGTGTAACAGGACATACCATTTGAAAAATGACAATGACCTCCTAGATGGCGGTCTGATCATAGTTTCTTCCAAAACGTTTAAACATTTGTAATGAGTAAGTGTTTCTAAATATAACATGGAAACGATTGAGGCTGGTTTATTGTTTGACGCTAAAGTAAAATCAGTGTGGCATGATTAGTGCCATGTCATCTAATATAAAATGGGTCTTTGCAGATTGTGATTGTATAGATGGAGAGTCAGAACCAGCATATCACAAGCACAGCTAACAGCATGGATTATTCTTTAAACATGTGTGCTTTCTCCTTTATGGAGTTAACTCAAACATGATGGCCAAATCCAGAAAACCATTAAACCAACAGACCATAAACCAGCCTGTTGGATAACTTGCACAGAATTGTATAAAATGCTACATTTGCCGTCTCATTTTAGTAAATGTGCTTTTACACAGAGAAGTAACCATTAAAGGTGAAAATCAAAATTAGAGGACATGGCCTTTAATTTTAGGTTTACTTTCTCACTGGTGCTTTACTTTCCAGACAGATTAGGTAGAAATTGCCCTAACCACTGACACAGCATCTGATATTTCTTTATCCGCCTAATGGTTAAAATAGGGGGTTGGGTAATCTGATCCTACATCTGTAGTTAAGGACAACTTCTACCTCAAGCTTTCTCTACACAGGTGATGCCAGATGCAGGCTTTGTGAGCGTTGTTATCAACTCAATATGTGAACTTTGGTTCCATCTACTGGCTGATTGTATGTTCATCTAAAGGAAAGGAGAATATGGAGGTAACTTGTGGAATAGACACCAGCTGGAATGCGGTTTTAACCAATCAGCATTCAGGATTAGAACCACTGGTTGTAGTCGGATACATGTGTGCTCCAGTCTGACACAAGAGGCAATGTGATACTTTCAGGTAGATTCTTTTTGGTGGTCTTATTTTCATACCTAATGTCTAAGTCTCACTCCCTCACTTCTGGTTCCAGCCCAGGTTACATTTATAGTAGATTGCAGAAATACCACTAAGGTATGAGGCATCCATGATGTGTCATAGTTCATTTTTACAATTATCAGCAATCTTAACACTGTACTTTGGTAATATGTTCCGGACCAAAATATAACATCTACACAGAGATGCATGCAAAAGTATACCCAATGGAAAACATCATGAGAGGTTAATTGTAGGTAATCAATTGCCGATAAAGACAGTATTACTAATTCCCTTGCACCCTTTATCACATCACCTTCATCATCACTAAATGTCTAAGTATCACAACACTGAAATCATCATCATAATTGTAGACAGTGATAGAAATGGCTTACTCATCCTCGCCATAGAGGGCGTAATTACCCTGAGAGTTAATAAGTACTTGACCTGGTGAATAGTCAGGGAGTCATTCAAGGTTACGGTGATATCTTCAGCAGACATGACAAGGACCATGGTCACTCTGAGTTCATTGAACATCCTTCGGGCAGGAGATGCAGCACCTGATTGGGCAGCCTTACAGACCTTCACCAACCTTGCTTTTTCTTTACATAATCTCTAAACTCTTTGACTTCAACTCTTTCATCATCATACTCATATTTTAACCACGTTAAATATTGTTCTCTTTATCCTCTTTGCTGCAGCTACCCTCACTGTTTTCTACACACTAGGCTATAATCGAATGATATTATCATTGTATTATTTTTACTACAGTGCAACTTTATTATTTACTATTAGTATTACTACAGTAGTAGGCTGCATATGGTTATCAGAGCTGGCAGGACTGGCCTCTTGCTGTGTTTCAGATGCCTGTCTGGAGGACCCCTGTGCCAACGGCGGCACCTGCGTTGAGATGGGTGGGAGCACCACATGCCTCTGTTTGCCCAGCTATGGAGGTGACCTCTGTCAGACAGGTGAGCTCCTCATTCTTCTTGTAAGAGTGCTATTAAACAGTGTTATAATGCACCAGATGGCAGACTACTGGGTGGCAGGTAGTCTAGCGGTTAAGCGTGTTGGACCAGTAACGGAAAGGTTGCAGGTTCGAATCCCTAAACTAACTATGGGGGGAATCTGTCGATGTGCCCTTGAGCAAGGCACTTAACCCTAATCGCTCCTGTAAGTTGCTCTGGTTAAGAGCATCTGCTAAATGACTAAAATGTAATGTAATGCACCACCACATTCAGTAATAATACTTTTGGGTTTGTATGTGCTGAAGCAGGTTAAGTCAGGCTCTGATGAGTGGAGCCACATTCCAGTCATCTTCGTAATAAAGAAGTAAAAGGATATATACGGCCAAAACATAAACAAAGTAACAGAACCTTCATTTTTTTGTTATTAGAAGGTAAGACAGTTGTACTAGTCTAGCTTACTAGTACTACGCTATTAATAACTAGTAGTACTATTAACTCAATCAATCAAATTGAAATATTACACACTGTGGCGTTAAGAGCCCATTAATCTCAAAGAACCACCTTGTTCGAAGAGGACAATCCAAGAATGGCTGTTCCATCCCTGATCCCAACTCAAGAAAGGACAAAACCTTGCTTTTGGAACAATTGTCCCCTTCAGTTCAGTCTGACGCAGCCTTTTCTTTGAGACCAGCTTGCTATGCCACCGTGTTCCTGTCACACAGATTTAGGGATGAGAACATAGAAATTGAAAGAAGGCGAAATGAAGTGTTCTTTAGATGGATGAACCTCATGGATCTATATGCTCAGTGAATCAGGGAAACTGTCATTGTGGGTTAGAATAATCTAGTTACAGAGTAAGGCCAGGATTCAATCAAATACAATTTTCCTGGCATTCGCGGAGATCACATTCACGTCAACACTGTGAATGTTGGCTCAAGCTTAAACAATTTCCTTCAAAAGTCAAGTGTATTGCACTTGTCGATAATGCATCTTAGATTGAATCCCGAGCAAGGTCTTAAGGTAGTTTCGTTCGGGTCACCTCATTGTTTTTCATCAATACCACCTCTTCTCTCTCTTTCTTGTTCAATGGTCAGAAAAGCTAAACGGATCTAACCTTTCCCTCTTAATCGTCCAAATAAAATAATTACATCTAGTAAATCTCTCCCACCCTCCCTCCTGTTCTGTCTCTTAGACCTGGAGCAGTGTGGGGTGGGCTGGCAAAAGTTCCATGGGAACTGCTACAAGCACTTCAACCAGCGGCTGATCTGGGAGGTGGCGGAGCAGCACTGTCGCATGGTGGGGGGCCACCTGGTGTCAATCATGACCCCTGAGGAGCAGGACTTCATTAACAGTACGGTGGGAGTGGTGACAGCGAGCCACCAAACTTCCTACTCCACCTTTTCTCTTTCATTGATAGGCAACTCCATTTGTTAGCATAGCGTACCATTTTACAGCACATTAATACATTGGAAATATAGCAGCTAGCTCTCAAGGGTTTGTGTGTGCTATTTATTAGCATAGGAAGGACAAATGTCATGACCCTGCTGTGCGGAAGTGCTACATGCAAATGCTAATCTGGGTGATTAAAGAGGTAGTTCAGCAAAATTACTAAATCAATTAGATGAACACTTACTTTTAACCAGAGTGACAGACTGTGTACTCAGCCACTGTCACAACTGCTGACATTAGCATTAATTACCAAAAACACAATGGGAGAGATGGGGGGCAGCTTTAGCATGTTCTAAATTACGTGGCCACATTACCTCCAAGTAACTTCATGCCCAGTCAATTGGCAACACAAACCCTGGCAGAGTTGTTGATATTCGCAGTGGAAGCACAAACACAAAGGTCTACTGTATAACTTCTTCGAGGAGTGATAGGCCTACTGCTTGAAAAGCAAATAAAATGGCTTGTTCTATCCGCAGATAACTATAAGGAGTATCAGTGGACTGGACTGAACGACAAGACCATCGAGGGGGATTTCCGCTGGTCCGATGGTAACCCATTGGTGAGTCCAGTGTGGTATCGAGTAAATGTTGCTAGTCATTGCTGATAAACAAAGGAGTCCGCTCATACTGAACCTGGATCATAAGTTTTATTCATATCACAAGCTTCCAGCATGAGTTACAGACTTGCAGGGTCTGGAGAGCAGTGTCCTCGAATTCTAATGGCTGCTCTAACCCCCTATGCCCCCAGCATATACTTATAAACAATGTGAAAATATGGGTTGCTCCCTCTGCGGTCCAATCACCGGTCTCCCCTGGGGCGTCACCCCACAAATGGCTACTTTTGAACTAACATAAACAACATTCTTTCAGTTCCACTTAAAACCATTAACAAAGACATAATCCTAATACACAACACCAGACAGATTGGTTTGACATAGAAAAAGTACTGTGTCAAAACATGTCCACAGGATGACATGCAGCTACAAAGACACAGGAACACAAGACACAAGACATTAGCTCCCATGCTTATAAACTACTACAGGTCTGTGTCTCTCACCTTGTCTTCACAGCTCTATGAGAACTGGTACAGGGGCCAGCCTGACAGTTACTTCCTGTCTGGAGAGGACTGTGTGGTGATGGTATGGCATGATGCCGGGCGCTGGAGTGACGTGCCCTGCAACTACCACCTGGCCTACACCTGCAAGAAAGGCACCTGTGAGTAATGGACATGATTTTACTACAAACAAGCACCTATCTACCAGTTCCTTTACATACCTGTAACTACCTCTGTGCAATAGATTATATTGCTATACAGGCAATAGGTCACAGAGGTAGTTAACTTAGAGGTATGTAGAAGTAGTAGTAGATGTTTAATGCTCACATTCAATACAGTCCCAAACTAGTGTAACGCTCAAAACTTAACTGTATTGAATGTGTACATTAGGACAAATAATCGTTTAACTTTTCATTTTACATTTTAGTAGACACTCTTATCCAGAGCAACTTACAGTTAGTGAGTGCATACATTTTCATACTGGTCGAATCGAACCCACAACCCTGGCGTTGCAAGCGCCATGCTCTACCAACTGAGCTACACAGGACTTTCATGAATGTGTTTTTGATTTAGAAGACATTATCACCTACAGTCTTTGTAACTCCTCCCACAGCTTCATGTGGCCCTCCCCCCAAAGTCCGGAACGCATCTGCGTTTGGCAAAATTCGCCAGAGGTACGAGACAGACGCGGTTGTGCGCTACTACTGTGCCCAGGGCTTCCAGCAGAGACAAAACCCTCTGGTCAAGTGCCTGCCAGGTGGCAAGTGGGAGGAGCCCCAGATCCTCTGCATCGCTGGTATGAACAGTTCTATGACCAGCCCACCTATCTCTAACCCATGACCATGTTCCATTACAGTTCTGATTTTGCTAAATATGACTCAAGAACAGTTATTGGGATACAGTTCATCTCTCGTGACAGACTGTCAGCAAGAATCTGCCTCACTAAAGAAATACTGAAGAATTGTGATTTAGTACATCAGTGTCACTGATTCTTTTGAAGAATGAAGGAGATGCTTAAGAGTGGAGACTGGGTTTTTTAACCGGAAAGTTAGTTGTTATTCTGTAGTGGGGAGTTGCTGAATCTGATTTAGCTCTGGAGGAGAACATCTATCTTTGGGTTCAAAGCCGGGATTCAATCAGTCGCATTGTCAACAAGCGCACTGCACTTCACTTTTAAAGGTAGTTTACACTTGAGCCAACATCTGCAGTGTTTACTGCGAATGCAATCTACACAACCGTCAGGGAATTGCCTGTAGAAGACACAATGTCGATTGTCGACAGTGCTGTGCGCTTGTTGAAATGTGCCTTTCATTGAGTCCCGGCCTAAGTCAAGGCAATGCCATAGCGGCAGGCAAAGCCAACCCAGAAAACTAGCGGCTAAATCAGACAGTTCTCACTCTGGACATTATGTGGGAGGGACAAGATAGATGTATGAAAGTAATGTACGTATGACACTGCCTTTTTATCCAACAGATTTGTCAGAAGTCTTTATTTTCAACTTTGTGTTGGGGTTTCCTTTCAGGGGCAGGAAGCACAGCACAGATAGCAGGAGTAACATCACCAACCACAGGAAACCAGGAGCTGGCTGAAGAGGAATCACAAACAACAAAGAAAACGCTTCAATACTGGGACATCAAGTGGAACTTTTAAATTCCATACCATGTCCCATTACACTTCAATAGTTTTCTTTCCTCATTGACCAGAGATCTGAAATGGCTGAACATGTGAAGGCAATAGGGTGATATTGAAGGAAAGGAGACAAGGAAAGAGTATTGGGACACATGGTCAGTCAGGCATAACCTCTTCCATTCCTACTCTCCTCCCCAAAGCACATCGATCTGAATCTGTTGTTGGAATAGCCTGGGCTTTAGGGTCTCTTGTAGCCCTACATAGGATGCCATGAATTGCAATGGTGTGCTAGAACGCGGAACCCGGAACATGTTCCGTGAAAAGTCCTTAGGCTTTCAGAAAATCCTATCACTGAGGCATATCTATAAACCCTAACTCCTTGTCCATCCATCTGGATTGTACACTATATACACAAAAGTGTGTGGACACCCCTTCAAATTTGTCTATTCGGCTATTTCAGCTACACCCGTTGCTGACGTGTATAAAATCGAGCACACAGCCATGCAATCTCCATAGAGAAACATTGGCAGTAGAATGGCCTTACTGAAGAGCTCAGTGACATTCAACGTGGCACCGTCATAGGATGCCACCTTTCCAACAAGTCAGTTCTGCAAATTTCTGCGCTGCTAGAGCTGTCCCGGTCAACTGTAAGTGCTGTTATTGTGAAGTCTAGAAAGGTCTAGGACCAAAAACAGCACAGCCACAAAGTGGTAGGCCACACAAGCTCACAGAACGGGACTGCCGAGTGCTGAAGCGCGTAGGGCGTAAAAATCGTCAGTCCTCGGTTACAACACTCACTACCAAGTTCCAAACTTCCTCTAGAAGCAACGTCAGCACAATAACTGTTCGTCAGGAGCTTCATGAAATGGGTTTCCATGGCCGAGCAGCCGCACACAAGCCTAAGATCACCATGCGCAGTGCCAAACGTTGCCTGGAGTGGTGTAAAGCTCGCCGCCATTGGACTCTGGAGCAGTGGAAACGCGTTCTCTGGAGTGATGAATCACGCTTCACCACCTGGCAGTCCGATGGACGAATCTGGGTTTGGCGGATGCCAGGAGAACGCTACCTGCCCAAATGCATAGTGCCAACTGTAAAGTTTGGTGGAGGAGGAATAATAGTCTGGGGCTGTTTTTCATGGTTCGGGCCCCTTAGTTCCAGTGAAGGGAAATCTTAACGCTACAGCATACAATGACATTCTAGATGATTCTGTGCTTCCAACTTTGTGGCAACAGTTTGGGGAAGGCCCTTTCCTGTTTCAGCATGACAATGCCCCCGTGCACAAAGCGAGGTCCATACAGAAAAGGTTTGTCGAGATTGGTGAGGAAGAACTTGACTGGCCTGCACAGAGCCCTGACCTCAACCCCATTGAACACCTTTGGGATGAATTGGAATGCCGACTGCGAGCCAGGCCTAATCACCCAACATCAGTGCCCGACCTCACTAATGCTTTTGTGGCTGAATGGAAGCAAGTCCCCACAGCAATGTTCCAACATCTAGTGGAAAGCCTTCCCCAGAAGAGTGGAGGCTGTTATAGCAGCAAAGGGGGGACCAACTCCATATTAATGCCCATTATTTTGGAACGAGAAGGTGTCCACATACTTTTGGTCATGTAGTGTATAATGTGTCACTATCTGTAAAGAAACCGTATTAACCTAACTTTTCTCCAACCTGGCACCTAACTCCAGCTGTGGTAGACAGGGGTAGGATACAAGGTAGCTCGTCTTGAGTGCTGTCTACCACAGGCGGAGTCTGGTGCCGGTTTGGAGAAAATTTGGTTCATTTACAGATATCCACACATTGTACAATCCAGAAGGACGGACAAGGAGTAATGGATTATAAATATGCCTTCAGTAGCAAGATATTTGGAAACCGTTATGCCTAAGGACTTTTCACCAAATATGTTCTGGGCTCCACATTATAGCGATCTAGGATGCCATTGCATTCAATGTATGGCGTCATATGTAGGGCCAGGTCTTTTGCTGGTTTTAAACAGGCCTCAGCACGCTAACGGTGTTCAGTGATTTAATCTGCATAATTTATCAATCAATCAATGTTTATTGACTATTATTGGCAAATCAGCTTTATAAATCCACCCATCATATTTTCAACAACAGCTGGTCTGTTTGCAATTCCATTCATATTCCATCAGCTAGGGATTACCTGGGGTCTGTTCAGGAGGGTGAACATTACAGAACGTTCAGATAGAAATGTATTGTGTAGAACAGATATGATTGTCCAGCCTGGCCTCAGAGCCGTATGAAATATACTTTATGTATTTCTGAGCACCTCCAAGACGTATGATACCTACTAATGGTCTAGTTACTTGAGACAGAAACTCAAGTAGGGAAGTTGGTCGGGGAGGATGGGTGGGCGTAATCCGCGACAGTCTAGCAATCCAAGGTTGCATGTGCGAGTTGCATCAGGGACATCTGTAGCATTTTAGCTAACCCTTCCCCTAACCCTTATTCTAAACTTAACCTGCTACGTAAATTCACCTAACCTTTGTCGTTTTAGTTCTCCTAACCTTTGCCGTTAGTTACCCTAACCGCCCATGTAAATTCTCCCTGTAATTCTCCTTTGTTGTTACAGCGCAACAAGCAACCTGGCCTCAGATATTTGTATGTTTTGTACTACCGGGTAAGACCTATGACACTGTACGTCCTCTAAATCGAATGATATTGTACGACCACTATTCCATTTATAATGTAACGTAACGCATCATACTAAATAGACTGTCACAGATTTACGTACAGAATAATATGAATTTCCCTGAGATCACGTTGGATTGCCTGTGGACTTGGTAACGACTGTAGTTCTATTAGTAATATTTCTACCTGCAATGTTTTTGAACTTTTTATCTAACTGAGTACACTCCAAGACAGGTGAGTCATTATAGGGATGTTTGGTTGAGTGTCAGGGAAGAAACACAACAGACTCTGTGGTCCATATCCAAACCTGTCTCACGTCACAACCTCTAGGTCCTTTGAGTCCCCTTCATAGAACTGAAAGGACTGGATAGGTGTACGGAATATGGTGGGAACTCCGCCAAGCCTACCAGAGGGCTAGGTGTGGCTATTACCACATTGCTGAAACCAATCCAAATCTTTCAGATCCACGAGGTGACTTAACAAATCTTTAGAATAGAAGCAATGGTTGGTTTGGGGCAGAAAATCCCTGCACTCCTAGGAACCCATATCAAGTTTTGAACTCAGCATTATTTCCATCTCAACCATCTCACAACCATAGGCCTTCTTAGACTTTTATCATCAACAGACTTTATATGAAATGTGGTGCTAACGCCCTTGCCTATGATACATGCATGAAGTACGTTTCATTTTTTTAAACATAAAGAATCAAAATGGCACCTTTGTGCAATAGGATTTTAGAAAATAAAACACGTTTATAAAGCGAATTCCATTATCAAACTAGAATTTATATTTCACAAAGTGGTTTATTTATTCACTCTTAACTATTTTGGGGTGAAAACGGCTAGGGTGAGTAGCATGAAATTGTTTTTACCAGGGTGACAATGCCTTTACTGTACGTATCAATGATATTGATTAGATTTTGTTTCAAAGTATGGTTTAATTACTGTCCACTCTTCCCTCTGATAGATGCCCTACATTTTACTGACACAGTCCTATTAAAAGCTTTATGTTGTAATAAAGTTTTGTAGAATAAAGCAAGGATTTAATGAGTATTAACCACACAGCCATTTTCTGAAATATTTTATTTTGTTCTTTATTTACTGATTTTCTAAGTATCTTTTACAGTAATACTCTTCATTATAAACAAAATAAAATTATAATGTTTCTGTGACTGTGTTTGTGTGCCTATTTAGTTGGTGTGGAGCATCAACAGTTGAGAGGGAGTCAGAGGTTCAGGTGCATAAAATGGTGGAATTTATTTAACAGTCCAGGTGATGATGAAGACTGTATCCAGAGGTTGTATTTACACTGAACAAAAATATAAACGCAACATGTATCCATGAAACGAGCTGAAGTATATGATCCCAGAAATTTTCCCATACGCACAAAATGCTTTTTTCTCTCATTTTGTGCATTTTGTCCACAAGATTATTCATCCACCTGACAGGTGTGGCATATCAAGAAGCTGATTAAACAGCATGATCATTACACAGGTGCACCTTGTGCTGGGGACAATAAAAGGCCTCTCTAAAATGTGCAGTTTTGTCACACAACACAATGCCACAGATGTCTCAAGTTGAGGGAGTGTGCAATTGGCATGTGGACTGCAGGAATGTCCACCAGAGCTGTTGCCAGAGAATTGAATGGCCTCACAACCGCAGACTACATGTATGGCGTCGTGTGGGCGAGCGGTTTGCTGATGTCAACGTTGTGAACAGAGTGTCCCATGGTGGCGATGGGGTTATGGTATGGGCAGGCAGGCATAAGCTATGGACAACGAACACAATTGCATTTTATTAATGGAAATTTGAATGAACAGAGATACCGTGACGAGATCCTGAGGCCCATTTTCATGCCATTTATCCGTCGCCATCACCTCATGTTTCAGCATGATAATGCACGGTCCAATGTCGCAAGGATCTGTACACAATTCCTGGAAGCTGAAAATGTCCCAGTTCTTCCATGGCCTGCACACTCACCAGACATGTCACCCATTGAGCATGTTTGAGATGCTCTGGATCGACATGTACAACATCGTGTTCCAGTTCCTGCCAATATTCAGCAACTTCGCACAGCCATTGAAAAGGAGTGGGACAACATTCCACATGCCACAATCAACAGCCTGATCAACTCTATGTGAAGAAGATGTGTAGCACTGCATGAGGCAAATGGTGGTCACACTAGATACTGACTGGTTTTCTGATCCACGCCCCTACCTTTAAAAAAAAAGGTATCTGTGACCACCAGATGCATATCCGTATTCCCAGTCATGTGAAATCCATAGATTAAGACCTAATTAATTTATTTCAATTGACTGATTTCCTTATGAACTGTAACTCAGTAAAATCTTTGAAATTGTTGCATGTACCCTGCTGTGTAATCAGTTTCTTGATATTCCATACCTGTCAGGTGGATGGATTATCTTGGCAAAGTAGAAACGCTCACTAACAGGGATGTAAACAAATTTGTGCACAAAATTTGAGTGAAATACGTTTTTTGT